TATTGCCTGGAAGTAGGGTATTCAGGTAAATACGGTTCCCTACACGTAGTTCATGTAAGTTCTTGAAATGTTTCTTTTCATTTTGTATCACACTGTATTCCTAAGCACAATTTGGAGGAGCTGGGATTATGCAGGGAATTAGAGAAATTTATTTTTCCAAAACTTTCATTCTCAGGTGCGTCGAATAATCTTTTATAATTTCTGGATCTCTGTTACGATAGAATTTCCGTTTGCATTTTTTCCCCCGCGGAAACAGTAGAAAGCTGCCCATCAGTTACCCAAATGGTTTTCTACACCGTTCTCTGGGTTCCGGGATAATTCATAACCCACAGCGGTGGCACACATGTCGCGGGTCGTGATTGCAGGGGCAGTTCACGTGCTGGATACAATTCATTACGAGTTCTTTTACCCACCCAACTTTTTTTTTTACGTTTCTCTCTTTCATATGATGTTCACTGGTTCGTTTTCTCTCTTTTGCGGACAAGGATAGAAAATTAGGAACGCGAAAAAAGGAGCCAGTTGGCATTTTATTTCATCCAGAAAAACTCGTCATCCTCCTCTTCCCCTTCTGGTGCTATACTGTATGTAGTACAGCGTTTATTTTTATTGCACTGTGTGGTGCAAAAGGTTGAGGGGGGGGGGAGGGGTTCCCCTCTGGTTGAATCATGATGAGGGTCCTCGACAATGTTGCCAATGAATGCATACGATTAAGATGGCAAGTCTAGAAGAGTAAGTAGATATGTAAACTCGGGTGAAACTCGTGATCGAAATTGAATTTGCACATAGTACTTCTGTTCGAATTTATCATCATTCCCTTTCATAAAAGCCAAAACTATAATATGTTCAAGTTGCCGTGTATGAGATCTTTATTTGTGTACAGGTGAATCTCTTCGAGTCCAATTTGAATGGACCCCAGCAACATTTTGAATTACAGAATTTCGTGTCAGGGAATTCGGATTAATTTGGGTATTACTCCACAGAAATTATTCTCTGGACAAATTATTAGAACTGTTAATTTATTCATTTATGTTCAAAGTACAGGAAGATGCCTAACCTTTTTTGTGATGATATGAATGAACAAAATAATTTGCAATTGTTTTCGCTTTGCTTTCTAGAAAGGTGTTCTTAAATTCTGCCCAGATTTAATTACAAAAAAGTTCTTTATTCATAATGTGTCTGAGGGAGATGCGACTCGAATTTTATTTTTGAATAGGTGGATTTAAATTTCATTTGACTCAACGATGGAATTAACGAGGGATTAAAGGTTAATTCCAATAAGAGAGGTTCTTGACTTGGAGTTGCATGGTTGCAAATTCTTTTTGGCACACTATGACCACCTTTGGAATTTCCCGTTTCGGGAAGACGAATACTGTACAGTGATGCAAATATACAGTAATAGAATATATCCATGGTATCTTACAAATTAAAATTTGTTGATTGGAAGTTTTACGTTTCGCAATATAATGTTTCTTGCAAAATTTAAACGAAGTACATCTAATGGTATAATTTTTCAAGTTGCTTGAGTCGGTCAAACGTCCCCAAGTTTTCAACTCCTCCGTGGTATTTCATTATTTTAACTCTTTCCCGCATTCAAAAAATTATGAATTGTAAGATAAATATGCCAAACTGCTGCTGAAACCGACTGCGAAATCCGCGCCAGTTTCGAATGAATCACTGGCAACTCTGCTGTGTGTCCGTGTCCAATCAGTTCCCACTGGGGGTCTGCAAAATGAGCATGAACCCAGAACAGGGCTGCTGCTGCCCTGCCCTGGGTTGTAAGCCTGCAAAAAAAAAGAGGCGATCATGAAAATGACGCAGGTGCTCCTTTTTTCTCTGCAACCGCTCCGGAGTGATTGATGCCCTCTTGATTCCTCGACGTCGTCCGGGGGGAAATGACGATCGCGACCTCGCCGCATTTCCCCCCCCTCGTCTCTTGTGGGTAGCTGTTTTCCGAGGGATTTCCATAAATATATTTCTTTGGTAAACTTATCTCACTAATTGCCTATTTCTAAAATGCCAAGTATCAGCTAGTGCGTCGCCCGAAAAAAAATTCACTCTAATAACGAAAAATTCAAATAATTTTTTTTTCTACGCAAGGAAGAAGTCATTGATACAAAATGTTCTCGCGTAACAACATTTCTAGACAAAAAAGTGCTTGCCTTCCGGAAATTAATAATTTAAACTTTGCGAATTTCAAGCTTTGGTCAATATTTTGGTTCATCTGTCGGCAATAAGATTTGTTACCAAATTGCACGCGTGATCGTCACTACACCTGAATACTAAAGTAGCAAAAATGGATCATGGATATTTATGCACAAAAAAGGACAGCAAATTAAAAAAACTAAGTCTGATCTGCGTCCCGATAAATATTATTCAGGGACATTTATTTTGAAATGATCGTGTTCCAATGCAACACAGTGTTAACTACTTGTAAAATGAAAAGCTTTTTCCGAGTCTAGTACAATACTTTTTTGTCCAGAAAAAAACAATTTCTTTGATGAACCCTCAAGGGAATTTTCATCCACAGCACAAGAAAAATTTGCTGATTTCAAGAAACACTGGGATAATTTTAATTATAGCAATGCGGAGACCCACTGTACCATAATTGAAGAATTTTCACTGGCGATTATTGAAAAAGGCTGAAATCTGAAACCTTCGTGATACAACCCACACTTCGACTTTCTTTTCTAATTTTTTTGCGTTTTAATGTGAATTTCTATTGACCATAACTCGAACTCGTTGGTATGCAATGATATATTGTGACAGCATTTTCACCCACGCGTAACGACCCTTTCAACTTCAATTTGTTCATACCTGAGCACCATTTTTTTTTATTTATCTGTATTTTATTACAATTCAGACTCATTTCAATGATATAAAAATACTTTTGATGAGTAATGAGAGGAGAAGGAATACTCTCATAAAAATAAATTGATGAAAGGGTTCACAGGTCCTCAGAAAGCATTTCGACTGACCGCAAAACCAGAGAAAAATCATTGGGTGCTGATGTACGTTCCGTGGATCGTTTTTGGAAGGACTATTCCTTCTTATGCTTTTGTTTTGGGTATTTATTGGCTTGAAAATATTTTTCCCGAGCAAATAAGTTTCGCTTGGATTTTAGGCATTATCACAAGAGTTTGTGGTTGCCCCGCGTTCCGGAAGTAGTCGGCCAGTTGATCACGACTCGATTGCCCCCCACTTCCGGAGAGGAGTAGGACCGGAAATACTCCTCGAGTTTCTGCCAAGAGTTACAACGCATTCTGTGGTCTTTTCGCAAAAAAATATCCTCGAGTCCATTGTTCACTTCATGGCACGCAAAAAAAAAAAAAAAAAAAAAAAAAAAAAA